CTCTCTCTCTCACATCTCCCCCACTCAATTCTCTCTCTCTCTCTCTCTCTCACACACACACACACACACACACACACACACATTGGCATTTTAAATAAGCACAATAGGAGATTGTATAGCATGAGAAAAACTCTATACAATGGGACCAAGAGTTTGAAAATAATGTATTTTCAAGCTAATGTTTATTGATTAGTATGTATACATTGGTCACCTTTTTTAGCTTTATAAAAGGTTACATTATACTACAGATTGGTATTGTATAGGATGAAAGTGAGACAATTCTCTAAAGTTAGGTAGCTGTAGTTTGCTAGCATTTTGTTGTTTGCTAGAAGTAGTTGTAAAAAATTAGTAGCTAACGAAGATATAGTTAATGTTTTAAGATTTGGAAAGTAAACAGTTAAAAGTAAAAAAATATGTAAATTTATTTAATGTTTACATTTCACCTGCCCTACAACGGAAGCACTAATGGTGGAGTGGTTAAAGCCATGGGCTGCTAACCCTACGGATAGTGGTTTGAACCTACCAGTGGTTCCTAAGCAAACAGGCAGGGCAGTCTGCTTTCATTAAAATTTACAGCCTTAGAAACCCAGGAAGTTCTACCCTGTCCTCTCATAGCACTGAGTTGCAATGGACTCTAGTGCAGTGGGTGTGATTTTTGGAAGGAATTACAAATGAAATATATATCTTTTTATCCTTAGTTCTTCTCTTTCCAATTAATAGGAAATATATACTTTTTGAATATGGTACTGTGTTTGATATTACTGACTGACACTTGAGGGGGCTTCAAAAACTTTCATGGAAAATTCCATTGTAATTTCATTTTTCCACAAACTTTTTGAAGCCCCCTCATGTGTGTGTGTTCACACACACATATTTCTCACTTCTATATCTTGGTTTAATGTGGCCAGGACTCTCATTCTTTAGCAGTTAACATTATAATGTAAAAATTATATTAAAATTTAAAAATTAGTACACTTCTATTTGTATAGTATGTCTACATCTGTCTGCAGGCTAAAGTGATTCTCTATGGCCTTATCATCTTCTCTGCTGCTTGTTCTGGTCATTTGAAAAGTTGGTAGATCGTTTGTTCTGACAATGTGCCTCTAAATAACTTCTCAGAAATATATGACATATTGCATTCATGGAAGCAGGGTGAGGAAAATGACCTCAAATCCCCAACAGGACCAGACTCAGCTCTTCTTTATCTTCGTTGATGCTGCAGGGCTTGAAAGTGGTAGAGAGTTGGTTTTGGTGGCAGTGCAGGGTAAGCACTCTGTACTACTCGCTGGTGGAAGTGCAAAGCTGTCATGCATGAAAGGCATGGATCTAGCTTCCTGCGGTCTGCTAACAAATGTGTCACTAGCATGGTAGAGTTCCTCAGGATTATTTCCACATGTTATTTTATTATAAGAAAGGAGAGAAATATTATTGTATACAGTAGCATTATTGTTCAGCTCTTTTTCTATAGTAAAAATATTCTTTCATATTAGTGATGAATTAATTTTTCCATTTGTTTCTACATCTCAACACCACTGTTTCAAATGTCATTGACTTGTTCTAATATTCTAATATTTAATTCTCATTATGTAACATGCATTTTTATAGTTTTTATCTGTTAAGTTGATCAACTGGAGTTTCTTTTAAAAGATTAGAAAAAAATCATTTTGAATGCATTTTAGAAAAAGATCAGGCTTCAAATAGCTATTAGTTTTCTTCTGTGAACTCTAACCTATAATTCTACATTCTCTTTGTATGTCTCTAAGAGCTCAGCATCTCTGAGTATTTTAGTTCTTTTTTCTTGTCATATATTCCGTTTTATTATTTCCTCCTTTTCTTCTTTTATAATATGACCCGAGCCCTTTTCCGTACCACTGATGATGAGTTGTCAGGTTGATGGAGCCAGGGTGGCGCAGTGGTGACGTGCTTGGCGCCCACCAGCCTCTCCGCAGGAGAAAGACGTGGTGATCTGTCTCCGGCACGGTTTTTAGCCTCGCAGTCTCTGCGGAGCAGCTTGTCCTGTTCTCCAGCGGGACTGTGAGTTCAATCACACTTTGTGGGAAAATGGAACGAAAAAATTTTAGTTGGCAGCACTAGCTTAGGTTGTCTGTGAGTTTCATTAACTATTTGTGTTTAATGGAAAGACTAAATAAACCAACATGCTACATGTGAGGTAAATAATTTAAAACAATTTTTCCAAGGCCTCTAATAACTAGAACATTCTTTTTTTTTTTTTTTTTTTAACTAGAACATTCTTGAATAATGTTCTGTTCCCACTTTGTTTTCTGCTATTATTATGTTTGGTTTTTTGCTGGTATTATCCACGTAGGTAATGCAAAGTATAATGAAGTAACTGTTGGGTCACTGAGGAGAATCCAGCTTGGTGTGGTTCTTGTAGTCACCAATTTTTATTCTTCTGTCTTAGACCAGACACCTTGTAGTCATTTGGCAAACCCTACTGATTCACATTACTTGTCGCCGCAGTGCAGTCTCTGCCGACTGATTGCCAGACCTTTCACGACCTATCGAGGTGATGGCAATAGTGCCCCATCCTCGTGTCTTACCCGAATGATTCTTTCTGTGTTTTCGCTGTTCTGTAAGGGGCCTTCCAAAAGTTCTTAGAAAGATTCCACACTTTTTTCTTTCCATTTTCCCACAAACTCATTAGGTTTTTTTTTTTTTTTTCCCCTTTTTAGTTTTTTAAAGCTCATCTCAAACGATGCTGCTTCCCTGCTCATATTTCTCATTCCGGTGCTTCAGGCCTTCTCCCTGCTGGCACCAGTGAAACTTCGCAGATCAACTACTCACTTCTGTTTTACTTCTTCGAAAGAGAGTACTTTGCTGTTCTCAGAATATACTGCAGTAGCTTTTCTCAACGATACTTTGTTTAGGCTGTTCTTGACTCCGACATAATCCCTTTCTTCTTAAAGCTCTGAGTCATTTTACACTTTTAATTTACCACATTCCGATTTCCATATAGGCATTGTCACACTTTTAAAATTCCTTTATTCCATAGTTGAAGGTCTTCAAAGTAATGACTCTGTAATTCAAAGAATCTCCCAGTAATTCCTTTGACACTGTAAGAGTTTAAGTGCTAATTCAATTCCAAAGCCTACTTACTTGGATAGTCATAAAATGAAAGTATATTGACTTTGGGAAGTACCTTTGAAATTTTGTGAAATAAAACTCTAGTACAGCACTGTTTTCGTATAATTTTAGGTTTCCACCTTTAAGTCTAATCTTAGTTAAATGTTCATAGAAGTGAGATTGTATTATAATTTTCCTTGAGGGAGGAAAAAATAGATCACATACTTAAAAATGAACTTACCAATGGCAGGAAGTACAGAAGTGTTATGAATGGCATTTTATTAAAAAGAATATTTATAAATAATTTAATTTTCATGATCGTTGTAAACATCCATTGGATTGTAATTGATAGAATAATTAATTTAATTAGCAAATAAAAGAGTAAACAAAAATCCCTATACTTTGTCTTTGAGTAATGTTAAAATTAAGTTCTTATTTCTATTTAATTTTAATGATCTATGAAGAATTAACCCAATTAGTCATATAGAAATTAATGTTTATACCTGATTTGTACACCAAACTGAAAACAAACAAAACCCACTGCCATTGAGTCAATTCTGACTCATAGCCACCTGTATCAGGATTCTGAGGCTGTAATCTCTGTAGGAGCAGGTGGCTTCATCTTTCTTATTTGTAGCACATGGGCAGAACATATTGCATTGGGGGGATTCCATGATACAGAGTTTATGCTGCCTCTCTGTCTTTCGCATTTAAATTTTTTCATGTTAACAGGGAAAAAAATGTAATTGCGTATTTTCTGGTAAATCCTTTGAACTAAAGTGAAAACTGACGCAATGGCATGAAGGTTTTAGATGAGGAAAATAATGGGAACTTAATTTTGCATAGAAAAGACATTTAATAATTTTGGTTTAAATATTATGTACTTTTTAACACATTTAAAACTTATTAAACTTTTCGTGGTGTGACTTTTCTTTGTTGTAAATCAGTAAATGTATTTTTATGTACCCGTTAGTTGTGTGGAACTGCTCTATAGGATTTCAGGGTTAGAACTGTGCCATAAGGTTTCCGATTGTATAGAACTGCTCCACAGTGTGTCCAGGGTTGTAATTTTTATGGAAGCAGACTGCCACATCTTTCAGCTGGGAAGACAGTGGTGAGTTTGAACCACTGGCCTTTTAGTTAGCAACTGAGTGCTCTAACCACAGTGCCATCAATGCTCTTTGAAAGCTCATTGGTGCTGAAATACTTGTTATCATCAACTGCAGTGATGATATACAATAGATATACATTGTATAGACAATGGAGTAGAGAGGAACATTGGAGTAATTGCTACTTTTTTCTTATTTTGTTCAATTTCTTATCACAGAGGGCATGAAAGCAATTAGGTAAGTATATTAGCAGTCTATGGTTGTAGACTGAGTTCTTTGGCATGCTGGAAGACTTGAATATTAAAAACATAAGTAAAGACTTTTTTACAAATAATAACTGTAAAAGGTCTAATTTTATTAATATTTTAACATAAACATAAATATTTTTATTTAATGCTCTAGGGATCCAAATTTTAAACTGCCATTTAAATTTTTTTAGTGAGGCTATTAGGGGTGTACTCTGTGCCAAATATATTTAGTGAATAAAAGTTTTCTTAATATCTTTAGTTATGAAGTCTTAATTCCTCCTAAGAGTTTTAAAAAGTAAGTTCTGCTTGCTTATGCTACATTTTGTTAAATTGAAATATTTGTATAATTGAAATATTTCTGTAACAGTAGGAAATAGACTGCATAAAACTGGGCCCTTCCATATTTGAGATTATTATTATTAACATTATCAAAAACAAATCACTACTTAGTCTACTTGGTGACCTTAGGGAATTCAAGCTATTGCATCGTACTTAATTCCCCAAGGATTTCAAAGTATTCAATAAATGTGATTGACTGAATCTCATTCTTTTGCACTAAAGTAATATATCACTGAGGTGTTTGCCACATTTTTTCTGCTTAAAACTGAGTTGTTACTTGATTTTAGTGAATGCAGTGTTAAAAAAACAGAATACAAAGTAATCAAGTTAACTAATTTTAAGGTAGCGAGGACTTGTCCATTTTGAGTGACCGATTGCTAATTTTCTAAAGCACTCATTGATAGGCTACTAGATTGTAACACTAGGAAACGGATATGAGATTCCCAATCTTGAGAATTTATAGCTGGGATTAGTTATTTCATAGCTTTCCAGTGTGATTAGAGGATTGGAGAGAAAATATTTAAAGTTAAAATAAGTGGTGTGGAATTTAACAGGGAGTAAGTTACTGATTTTTCAGAGTAGGAACAGAACTTTATAGTCTGAAATACTGGTAGTATGATAGCATAGGAGTATTGTGTAAACTGCATCACTCTGAAGTTCCTGATTATCTCAAAATTAGAAACAGTTGGTCGGCTCTATTAGCTTTTCCACCTGTGATAGAGTCTTTTGTTTGTTTGTCTTTTATTCTTCCTGGCATTTAGATAGAGATGGCTATCTTCTATTTTAATGAAAGGCTAAGATGGGGAACGGTGGGCAATCTGTTCATGTTCGTGCACTGTACGAACCCGATGCGTTTGACTGAGCTTAAAGCAGGGTGAGGAGGGAAGAGCCTTGTTTGCGCTCTGCTCTTCCTTCTCTTTATTGTTGGGTTCTTTGTATGCTACGGGTATAGTGCCCTGGGCCCTAGAAAACCCAACTTTTCCCCTAGTAAATGGAATTTTAAACTTTCCCTAGCTTTGGTGTGCTAGGGTTGCTTATTATCTGGTTTTTGAGTTTTAGAATTCTGATCAATGCTATAGCTTTTTTACATTCAAAAAGTATGTTTCATACGTAGTTTTGTTTTATGTTTCAAATATTATAGCAAGTGGCCTACATCAGAAAACAGTGTAATAGTACAGAAAATCGTGTATTGTTTTAACGGTTTTGAGTCTATGCTTTTTGGTTTTTTATTAAAGTGTGATTTGAATTGTCATCATACAAACACGTCTGTAGTTAGTATCTTAGAAACAATGCACGTTATAAAAAAAATCAAGGCTACCTATGTCGGTTTCATTTGCAAAGTTGTACACTTGTTTTAAGGCTATTAATTTATTCTTTAGAAAATATGACTTACATTAATATCTTCTGATGGACATAATAGTGACAAAATATACACAGGATGTTACTGCAACAAACTGCCATGCAACAAATACATTAAGTAATGAAGAAATTGAATATATATGGCCTAATCTAATTGACATTTACATTGAAAATTTACAACATAACCAATACTTAAAAATTTTTCCCCTTTCCATTTGGCAGTAATTTTACTTTTTACAATTTCCATGTAAAACCCATCCGAGTGTGATTTTGGTGAAACTTAGACATTGCTCTAGTCTGTGACAACCTGAGGTACTAAACATTTCTCTCTGATTTCACTGTCTTCAAAGGTAATTTTGGGGTTCCTTTTAGGATCTATCCACGAGTTGTGTATTACAGCATTATTAGGCATGGGGTCAGCTTCTACGATAGAAACAACTCGCTTTTTCATTTTACTTTTCAAGACCTTTTGAAATTTTTGTCTAGTGAATGCGTACAATAGAGGGTGAAATATGGTTGTTCCATACGCCATGACTAGAAAACACAATCTTAATTTTACCAAAAGGTCACTTGGGCCTACACATAAAATGGTGGTATTTAAAACAGAAATTGGTGTCCAGCAGAGAAGGAATGTAGAAATAATCAGTAAGGACATTTTGAAGACCCTCTTTTGCCTCTCGCGTCGTTCCCGGTGTCGTTTCACCGCTCTCCGGAGGGCAATGATGACGGACACCGAAGTCCTTACCCCGAAGACCACGTTCCTGCCCCCACTGCTCTGAGACAGGTCTGTGGGCGCATGCTGCGTGCTTAGAGAAATGGTCTTTTTCTTTCTTGTTTTCTTCTTCTGCCCTGTTGAAAACCTTGTGCCTATTCGAATATTAAGAGCCTGAAGTATTTTGGTGTACGTGATTAACATGACGACAACGGTGAAAAAGAATATTGGGATCTGTACCAGCAGATGGTAATACATTCCCAGTTCAGTGTAGTATTCATTTGTACTGACGCACAAAAGTGTCTTGTTTTCCCACGTATTTCCACTCGGAAGGCTGAAAAAATTGACCTCCATAAAGGGAATCAGGAAGGAAAAAAATGAGAAAATCCATATGGATACCATTAATATTACAGCCCTGCCCATTGTCAGGATTCGGTTTGCAGGTTTTACCGAGATGTCATATCTGTCCAAAGTAATAGCAAACACGTTGATTGCTGTGGAGACACTTGCAAAAGATACACAAGCCTCGTGGAAGCAGCAGATGAGAGCGGTGTTACTCTCCAGAGAAAGCAGAAGGATAACTATAGTTAGAGGGATGCACCCCACGCAAATTATTACATCAAGTACATGAAGATTCATTGTAATAATGTTACTGACAGAGTTGATTAGGTTGGATTTCATGCAGTAAAGTACCAGTACGGTGAGGTTGCTGCCAAGTCCCAACACGATTTCTAACATAAGAAATCCGGTGAGCGACACTTGAAAGCTTAATGGATATGAGAGTGGTTGGTACATGTTGGTGTTGATGGCATCAATGTCATCTCGCACTGTAATGTTAGATTCAGACTGCATGTTGACTTCCAGAATGGGAGAAAAACACATTCTTTTGGAGCAGTTGGTGTTTTTCCTAGAAAGTGAAATAGAATACACTTTGATATTTGGCAATTTAAATGACTTGTATCAAACATGTGCCCTTTGTAAGATCTTTTTTATTGTGCACCTAACAACCACAAGCTTAACTTTTTAAGTTTATAACTAGTAATGAACACGTCAATTTTTTTTTAAATCCAGGTTGTATTGTTTAGATGTAAAAGGAATTGAGTCTTATTTTGAAGAAATTTCTGTCTGGGGATGACTCCTGTATACTACCAACTGAATTTACTAAAACGGGGTTCCTTATTTGGGTTCTTCATGCTTATTATTTGAGGCAAAGTACATTTCTGTATCATCGAACTACCCAGTATGCAAAAGTAATTTTAACACAAGTGTTTTAAAATTTCATTTAAAAATGTGAGTAGGTGGAAAATAAATGCTATTTTAATATGTTCTAGCATAATTAGTGTAGGTGTAATTATTCCTGGGAGATTTCAAATGAACGGGACAAGTGTTCATTTAAAATGATAAGTCGTACAGAGCACCAGTTGGTTTTAAGCTATTTTGCCCATGTTCTTCATTAAAATTCCGATTCAGAAGCCAGACATGGGCTTAAATGGATATCTAGAGTTATTCCTACAGACATAGGCAAATGAGAAGTATTTTATATATGACATTTATGTATATGAAAATACTCTTTGAATTTCATACTCAGCAAACTTATACAAAGTGGAAGAAAAAGGAAATTATGTTAGCAGTAGAAAGAAGCCACAAAGCTTGGGAAAAGAGCAATAATCATTCATGAATGATTTTATTTTGTGGCCACACCCTCTTTTTGGGGGGGTGTGGGGGAGAATTTTGTTGAAGGAGAAAATGGATATTTAATGTCATATTGAAAGCCTCTTTTTGAAGTGGTTTATAATAATATACCAGTTGATTTTACTTCTTTAAATAAATTTCTAGTAAGAAATGAAATCATAGGGAAAATAGTATCTGAAGTTCATTTTTAAAGGAAGCTTTATAAGTTACACATTGCTTGTGAAGCCTTTGTATAAAGCAACCTGTGTATAATTTCGAATTTAAAAAAACCCACTCTTTAGCTCATCGATACAAATCTGCGTTTAATATTTGGGGGTTTAGCATGATTTATAAAAATAATGTCTGGTTTTTGGTTAAAATGCCAGTAATCCAGTAATCAGTATGTTCAGTTTAAAATAGGAAATCATACAACCAACTATATTTCACATTCCAAGTGCACAGTTTGATTGCAAATTTCTATTTAAATACAAATTAAAAAACAACGTTTTTCAAATACCATATGAGCCTTTCATTTGATTATAACCTTTAGCAATTTTCAGGAAAGACTTATACTTATGTATTTCAATTTTGGAATTAATATTACAGAAACAAATGCTAATGTTACCAATCTATTTTGAGCATAATATGAAGCATTGCTAGAGGCATATTTATTCAAGTAACTGATGGCCTTTGCTCAAACTGGAAGCCTATAAAAATGGAAAATAAAAGTATGCCAAATTTTCTGATCTGGCAGATTAAACATCAGGTTTTTGTCACATCAGTTAAATTTACAGTTAAAACACAAGTGTCAGGTTGGCTGATAATTAAGAAAACTGCAATTCCTCTAGAGAAAAACTCTTATCTTTTGTAAATGTTAACCTGTGTGAAGAGTCCATGCATCTTCTGACCTACCTGTTTGCTGTTGCCTTAGGGGCCTTTTGGCTCTCTATGGCAGTTTTTCACAAATTGATACACGATGCCATTGCCAGACTTTTGACATGAATTTTCACCTGACAACACTGAAGAAGCTGTGCTTATTTCATGTCTTGTAGGAATGCTTTCATTTTTCTCTCCAATACTTCAACTGCATGAATTGTGAAATTGAGTTGGCTGATGCATTTCTAAAACCCAGTGCATAATACTTTGTTTTGCTTTAAGAAGTCACGACCAAGAGGAACTATCCTCAAAAGATAAGAATTATGTTTCCCTTGGAAGGGATATATGATAGTGTCTCTTTATATTCCAGGATGTGTGGAAACCAAAAAGGAAACATACGGTTTCTAGCTTCTATAATGTATTTAGACATCCTTTTGTAAATTACAAGTGTATGAAGCAATCCTCATTATTTTAAAATGGTTTCTTGATCACATAACTTGCTTTGTTTTATAAATCCAGTCCATGTTCTTTTTGATAAAAACCACCTGCTACTTAATTTGGTTTCCTTTCATTAGAAGAGGATACTTAATTGGTCATAAAACTCAGATGGAAAAATCCATTAGTCATATCAATTGATATGAATATCAGAATAGTGCAGCAAATATTTGTTAAAGCTTCCTTTAACTTGCTGGTGAAGTAAATACATTCTCCTTTTGGAAATTCACATTTCCTGCTTCTTCAAGAACCAGTAGCATCCATAATTCTGGTATGTTAAAGTATAAACTCCCCCGTTAAAAATTCTCACCATTTTGTTTTCAGGCTTTTACAGTTATGATGCTTTCTCTTTTGCAGCTTTTCTCTAGCATCTTCTTAGGACACCACTGACTTGTTATATCCCGGTAACAATGTAGATCTCGTCCCCGATTTTAACTCCTTAATGCCTTAAAATCCTGTGTTAGAAGACCATCCTGCAGTCCGTGGCTTAGACAGCCATGGAGATGCTTGCTTGCTCTGTTGCATTCTTCATTAGGGCAGTTGTAAATACTGAATTAGTGACTGTGGACCCTTGTGAAAAAGATAAAGAAATAATGGTTAAGGAATTGAGTACCTAATAATTTCCAATTAATTGAAAATATTTTAAAATCATGTAGTGTTGGTTATCAAAATAAATAAGCTATGTTATCAGAGCCAGAACTATAGGCATACAATTAAAGCTTGCTTTAAAGAATATGTTTCCTTTTCCTAACAAAAAATGTATATATAATCTTATCAAACAGCATTTTTAACTTTACAAGTAAAGTCTTGCGACAAAAACTGCTTTTGTCAAACTAATTTCTGCTCGCATTTTAGAAGCTAACCTGTATTTTCGGAGATTATGAGCCATTAGCATACATGAAATATACTGTCGTTCCCTCTTGCATTTGTAATAAATTTGACCGTATTTTCTGCTCTAAGAATATTATAGTTTGGCTAATTCTTAGCACATGGTTTGCATTTTAGTTGATTAAAACAGATTCTATGATAAGATACTATAAATTTCCATTGATGAATTGTTCATGTGGTTGAAATGCAAAGGCAATAAAAAGCTAACTACCAATTGAATAATTTTCAGTGAACATTCTTATCTGAAAATTAAGCAATAAATAATAACTAAATAGTAAACCTGGTTCTTTCAAGATATTGAAGGCTTTCTTTTTTTTTGAACACTTGAGAAACATTAAGAATATTTAATATGTTTGAAATAATTTAAAGCTGGTGTCTTCATAGTGAATTAACAAAGAAAATGCTTTGTATTTTACAATACACTCTATAAAAAATGACATTCAAACTATAGCATGTCTTAAATAGATCTGAAAATTACATCTTTGGGAAATAGTAGAATTAAACAAAGTAACTTATACAAATTAGGCTGAAATTTCCCAAAGTAATTTTACCCCACTGTGCTGATTCAAAAGCAGCTGTATACTAGCATAACAAGCACATCTTACCTCGGGTAAGGATTTGATAGATTCTTGATGTAGTTGAAGCGTTTCCAGTTTGATTGATTCATTTTGTTCACTTGTTAGTAGGACTAGGGAAAGAGGGTCAGGCACATCTCTTCGAAAATGACCTTAAGAAAAATAAGTGCCTTACTGTGCCATTGTTTCAGCAGTCCTGCTAATGTATAGAACATGTCGTGCTGCTTAGAGGCTGCTGCAGTCTCTCACTCTTCCTACTGTGGAATCAATAAGCATCTGAAAAGACATAATGAAAGTAATTTAACATACTGAAGGCTTCTCGTCTCTGGAGACAGCATTTAGATCAGTCTTTCTAAAAAAGGCATGGCACTGCTTTTCAGAGGAAAGCCTTTCTGAGCAGCTTTTGCAGAATGACAGCCTACCTTGTCGCTTCTCTCCACTGCAGAGAGATGCAGTGCGTTCACTAATTTTGATTGGTCAGTTGTATTGGGCTTAAACTGTGCTTCATATGTATAGCAGGGATTTCCCGCCCCCTTCTCACCCTACCGTTTTATATAAGGATGCCCCCCCCCAAAAAAAAGAGCTAAATTTATAAGTGCTTGTATGTTGCTCTTAAATAGAATTAGTAAATTGGTGTTTTAACCATGTGCATTCTATTCTGGTTTGTTCACTTAATGCTAAACACTTTAAAATGCAGGGAAATGAGAGGCAGGAATTGCATAGTAAAAAGTATATATTCTTTTTAAAGACTTGATAATTGCACTTGAGAAATATTTTAGTTATATATATGTTTCTGATTGAGATTCTTTGTTCTGCAAATAGAAAGCTACTGCATCTTTACTGTGCACCACATTGAATTTCAACTATTTTTTTGAATTGAAGTCATTTTCTCTGTGTATTTCAAAGTATTGTGAGCATCTCAAGGTGATAAACTCTAGTTATGAATTCAGTATTCATTCATTCAATTACTTATGTATTCATTCACTCCATTCATTCAAAGTATTAATCAGATTGGCTTCAGGTGATTGTATTAGGAATTTGCTATAAATCTTATTGCTCTATCTCTTTGCCATTCTCAGTGTATAAAATGAATAATTGGCTTTACTTTTAGAGATCACTTCACCTGTGGGAAGGAACCCTTTGATCATCTGCCTTAATATTTATTTCAACTGACCTGGACAATCTGCTTCTTCTTCTTTTTTTAAATAAATTGTTTAATTGGGGGCTCTTACAGCTCTTATAACAATCCATACAGCAAGTGTATCAAGCACATTTGTATATATGTTGCCATCATCAATTTCAAAACATTTTCTTTCTACTTGAGCCCTTGGTATTAGCTCCTCATTTTTCCCTCCCTCCCTCCCTCATGAACCCTTGATAATTTATAAGTTATTATTATTTTTTCATGTCTTACACTGACCAATGTCTCCTAGAAGAGTATCCTCAGGGGAGGGAGGGAAAATGAGCTGATACCAAGGGCTCAGGTAGAAAGAAAATGTTTTGAAAATGATGGCAACAAATGTGCTCCACACTGTGGATGGATGTATAGATTGTGATAAGAGTTGTATGAGCCCCCAATAAAATGATTTTAAAAAAATGAATGGCTATTCCCTTAATATTATATGTAGCTATATACTAATATTGTTGATAAATGCATGTGGCAAAGAAGAAAGTAAATAAGCTGCATGTCTTCATAAATCGGGAGAAAGTGAAATAATTTTAAATAGATATGCTGTCAAAAGAATAGAAATAATGGTATAAGTAATGAACTTTATAAAGTTGAGTTTTTGGAGAGCAAATGTTTTGAAAATGATGAAGGCAACGAATGTACATATGTGCTTTACACAATTGATATATGTATGGATTGCGATAAGCCCCTAATTGTATGAGCCCCTAATAAAATGATTAAAAACAAAAACAACAACAACAACAAAAACCAAAAACAAACACTGAATTGTTATTAGCTTTGATTATCTATAAAAATGTTCTAAAAGTACCAAAAAAAAATGTTCTAAAAGTAAAATAAAGATGTTCTACTCTCAATAGTGAGGATAATTTTATTTTTATTTAATATGTAAAATTTTTTATATTTGTTGACAAAATATAATACATGTTTCTGGTGGCTGAATTGTTAGAATATTAATCACCAATTATTCTATAGTTTAGTGATATTCTCTATTTTAAAATATTGTATAATAAATTTAATTTGCAATTGAAAATATTTTATAATTTTGAAAGACATTATGTACTTTTATCATCTTCCCATTCACAGTAATGGCTAAGTAGTATATAACATTTGAATTGGATTTATATAGAAATTGTGAGTAGTGTGGTAGAAGATTTAGTTGTGATTTTCTAACATTTTCTGTATAGCTTTGGGTAGCAAGGCTTTGGTAACGCTAAAATTGAAATTGCTAACATTCATGCATTGTGAAAGTTGAGAAAAAGGGTCTTAGTAAAAGGCCAAGCATGTTGAAAGACAGTTGATACACACACACACACACAATGTTATTATATGCAAAAAATACCACCAGAGAAAAGATAATAGCATGAGTTGGTGGTTGGCTTGGGAAATTTGTAGTAGGGGCAAAAAGGAGTTGTTAACATAGTGGCGTATATATCTCTATATATGTGGGAGTGAGCAGAGGGAGAGAGAAAGAGTGAACATGCAGTGGTTAAGTGCTTGTCTGCTAACCTAAAGGTTGGTTGTCCAAACCCACAAATGGCTCTGTGGGAGAAAAGACCTAGTGATGTACTGTTACAGACATTAAACCAAGAACCCATGGCTGGTAAGTTATTTATGGCTCATAGTGACCCTACAGAACAGAGTAGTATTGCCCCATAGGGTTCCCAAGACTGTGAATCTTTACCGAAGCAGACTACTATATCTTTTCCCCCTGGAGTAACGGGTGGGGGGAGGGGCTGGGGGCGTGTTGAACCACTAACCTTTGGGATCGCAGCCAAGTGCTTAATCACTGCACCACCAGGGCTCCTTTTGAATAAGAATTACAGAGTGAGTAGGAAACTCTACAGTTCCACTTCTACTCTGACCTATACGGTCTGTATGAATGGGAGTTGATGTGAAGGACACAACAACAGCACACATCTATGAGAGGTGAGGTTTTCAAAAAGTTTCTGAGACAGTGGAATTGAAAGATAATACAAGTTTTCCGGTAACTTTTTGTTATAAAAAGTAACAAAATGTGAAGCTATCCTTCCATGATATATCCTTGATCTAGGCTTATCCACTGATTTTCATTTTTTAAAATTTTATTATTTTTCATTTTATTGGGAGGTCTTACAGATATTATAACATCCATGGTTCAGTTAGCTCAAGCATAATTTTACAATCACTACTACGATCAGTTCAAAACATTTTCTTCTTGAACTCTTTGGTATCAGCTCCCCTTTGTCCCTCCCCCCCCTACCCCCCAGAACCTTATTATTATATTATATATTATTATTATTCCCATATCTTACACCATCCAGTGTATCCATTCACCTGAAATTCTGTTATTCATTCCCCTTGGGTGGGGTTATACAGTCATCATTGCTATCAGCTCCCCCTTCCCATACCCTCAGGGAATCATTACTCCTGTTAACTATTTCTGAAGGGTTATCTATCTTGGCTTTCATGTATTCGAACACCTGCAAGTCTAACAAGATTAATGAGGTAGGTAGGACAAAGACAATAATAATAAGGGGAGGAAATCTTAAAGAACTAGAAGATAGTTATGTGTTTCATCAGTGTTATACTGTTCCCTAGATTTATTATCTCTTCTGTGTGACCCTTCTGTGAGGGACTGTCCAATTATTTTACAGGTGGGTTTGGGGTCTCCACTTTGTCCATGCTCCTTCGCATAAATTTGATTGCTTGTTTTTGAACTTCTGATACCTGTCCTTGGTGACACCTCATGATTACACAGGCTGGAGTGCTTCTTCCATGTGGGCTTTGTGGCTTCCCTGCTAGATGGCTGCTTGTTTAACTTCAAACCTTTAAAATGCTATATCTTTTAATAGCCGGGCTTTCTTCACCACATTTGCTTATGCACCCATTTTTGTCTTCAGTGATTGAGTCTGGAAGGTGAACATCATACAGTGCCACATTATTAGAACAAGCCATTCTTGTATGGAGGTAAGACTTAAGTAGAGACCCAAAGTCTATCTGTTTCTTTGTTGTATTTACATATTTATGCATACCTAGACTATATATATTTACATATACATATCTATATTAATACCTACACATATAAGTTTTACTTTCCTTTTCTTTCCTTTCTTTCCTTTTTCTTTCTTCCTTCTCCACTATCATGTTCACCCATCATTCACTTCTCAGTCATTCCTCTCGAATACATTTCAGTTAATCAACATGGCCAGGACCTACACCCTCCTCACTGTCAATTTTAGAACCCTTGTTTTCCCTTGCCCCTGTCGTTATTGGCTCACTGCTCAAACACACCACCCCCTCCTCCTCTCCCATGCCCCACCCACCTCGGAAACATTTGTCCCTTTGCTGCCTCCTTGGGATTGCTTATCCTTCCTATCTTATGTAGACAGACCCTGAAATAATAACAGAAAGAAAGACCATCCCAATAGTTCCAAGCTGTTATGCTGTGACTCAGTGTAGATGGGTATCTCTGTTGAATAGTGAGCAGGACCTATTAGAATCCATCAGTCCAACCCCCTTTTCTATCAGCACTTATACCCTTTTAGTCCTCAGCATTCTTGACTGAGAGGCGTGCCTCCTACAAGTCCCCATTGCTCCTACTGCAGCCAGGAATGGGGTGGTCTAGTGCCTCCACCTAAATACACCTTTGGATTTCCAGTGTGGTCCCACTGTAAGTACCCCCGACCAGTTCAGATGAGGTGCCAAATGCTGCCCCTCAAATCAGAAGTCTATAGTTCGGATTCCTTGGGGACTTCGTGGCTTTGCTCCCATTGCTGGTCTGTTGTACTTCCCTCTTAGTTTGCCTCTATGTGAGCAGGTCAGACCTGCAGCTCTCCCCAAACTGTATCTTCAGTGCTGCCCTCTGGGAAGGGGGCGTCATGTCTCGAGCTGAGCCCAGCCGTTAGGCTTATCCACCTCTGAAGGTGGTGTTCCCATCTCTATAACTCTTTCTGGAAGGGTTCTGCCTGTTCTGATTTTCACCATGTCACAATGGCAGTTTGGGCATCCTCGAGGAACTCAGATCATGTTCTATTTCAGTCCTCTAACTTTGGGGAACAGAACAAAGTATGAAGGGACAAGACCAGTACTATGAGGTGGCTGTGGTAAGGTTTTTCCAATGAAATTGTCATAGAACAGTCCTTGTTACCCTCAAAGAATGGGTGGTTGCATTGTTACAATGGAACAAAATTCCTTGGCACAGTTTTCCTGGCCTTTTTCTCACCCATGTAGTTTTCAGTTTTCTTAAAATTTCTTCCTAATAAGGCCCTATTGTGTTTTTTGAAAAACTCTATGAAA